TGTCTTAATAACATTCTATTCTATCAAGTTGCTAACAATTTTAAAAAGTAGCGAATAGCGATTTGCTGTTTGAAAAGTAGTCAACTACTTGGCTACTTTTAGGCAAAATGTAGTTCGCTATAACTACAGCTACTGTTTTGAAAAAGTTAGTCAAAAACTACAGGCTACTTGAAAATTGTAGTTCGCTACAGTAGCCAACTACAACTACTTCGCTACTACCCACCCTTGGAAATATGTTTCATTTAAATATGATTATTAAACAAATCTTTTAATAATTAAAAATAGTGTATTGCAGAGTGCGAATGGTTGTACTATTAGTTAGAATTTGAATATGTAAATTACTGTATATAAACCTAGACACAAACACAAAATAGTCAGATAGATTTCACGTTTAAAAAATATAAGTTATAACAGTTGCCATGGCTGCCATTGTCGGGGTGGTCACTCCTACTGATATAGTGAGGCGATTTTAGAGTTGTTTTGGATTAGCTGACAGTTTGCGCAGCTTTTTACCTGATTTTTAATTGGCTAATCTATCACTGGCCATCACATGTAACATATGTAACGTCTGGACAACGCTTCCGAGGTTACCGTCTTATAGTTTCGAAGTTTTAGCTGTAGTAAGTTCAGATTTTCACTTCCACTACCGCTATCATTAACCAATCAGATGCGTCCAATTTAATCTACCCCATTAACCAATCAAATGCATAATAAACCAGCGAGGGGATAGCGTTATTGGCAGTCAAGTCTGACTCTCCATATTATCACTCGTGCTCCCTACATCAGGCATTCATGCTGAACGGTGAACTCCCAGTTCTTGTCCTTTGGTGCACACAGGTGTCCACCGTCGTTCAACGAGATTGTCTATTTAGCGTGCATCGTAAGTCGTGAATTAGTAATTCGCAACCAAATCTAAACTATGCTATGCTATGCTATGCTATGCTATGCTATGCTATGCTATGATATGCTATGCTATGCTATGCTATGCTATGCTATGCTATGCTATGCTATGCTATGCTATGCTCGGCTATGCTATGCTATAAACTGCCGAACTTGTAGTTCGCTGAACCTGCGGATGGTTGACTTTAATTAAAGTAATTTGACTCGTAAACGACATCGGTGATCCCCAATTTTTATTTCATAAAATTATTTATTTTACGGTTTTAGTATACTCAACTATTTTAACAATTTAAATACGGATCTAAATCGTGAATTTTCCATTTTGTTGAAAACTGTGTCGAGCCACCTTAAATGCGGCTGTGGTACGATGTTACCAGTAAATAAAAGAAGTTTATTCATCGGCCGGGCGCGGTACATATTTGGTTAATACCATTTCGCCACAAGTACGCTTTGCCGAATTCGTACCTTATTCTTTAATTGAATTTGATACACGTGCATGGAGCGTCCATGCATAGATATCTTATATACACTAGATAGCGCATCTCTTTAAGTAAAATTGAAGCCAAGAATATTCCAGCGGTTACCTCCATTTGAATAGATGGCGGCCATGTGGAGTTTCCCACTCGCTAATAAACGCTTAAAAAACAACAATCACTTTCATCATTTGAACAGTTTGAAAATGTATTTGGAATAGGTTTAACTTAATGTTTAAGAGCGACTGTCTACAAAAATCAAACAAAATGAGAAATATGTGGCAAGGCTCAAAATTTTAAATTCGCTCTACTTTTGAATATAAGTTGACTATGGTGAAGTGAGAAACGTTATGTGGTTAGTTTTTAAAAATAC